GTCAAGCGACGATGAGAAAGAAGTGAACCAAAAGCGGGAGCCAGCGCCAGCGCGTGATCAAGAAGGCGATTTTGAGTTGGTATAGGCTCCGGTGTAGTGTGTCTGATGTCTGCATTGCATTTGTCTTTATATTCTATATGATTCCGGGTGCCTGGGCTCGAACATTTTTATTATTCCTCCTCCTCATAATACATGACTTGTAGCTTTTGCATAACAATATATCTGCGTTATCCCGCACAAATTGTCCGACTTTATTTAAATAAGCAGAGTGAATTATCGGTGATATCCGAACCAGATAAGAGGTTGGAGATCTTGAGTGAGAAGGACTATGAAGATAAGTAGTGCGGTGGCCTGACGAGATCACATGCGTCCCCTCTTCGGAAAAATAGACAAAATTTTCTGTTGGAACGATTCTCCCTAAAAGTAAAAAGAAACCGCCACAGACCAAGTTTGGACACGGTTTGTTAGTTTTTTCTGACAGCGTGAATTTTGTGGTGCGCTGCTGAGCCACAGAGAGCAATTCCTCCTTCTCCCTTGGACCACCACGACATTCGCGCCACCGGCCTAATATAGAGGCACAAACTTTGCGTGCGCGCTGGCTCTCTCTCTCTCGCTAGCAATGTCACGGCCAGCGCGTTCTCCAGCGCGCAACAAGGTCTCACAGAAAAGTATCACGCCAGAAGGTCTCTTGCTGCAGGGCTTCACCGCCCTCGAGTCCTTGAAGCCGCACTCTGCGATGCATGCGGACTGGCAGCACTTGTTGGAACGGCTGGAACAGTTGACTCTGGGTGCTTCTTCCGGTACTGCAAAACAGCCGTATGAGGTAAACGGTACCAGTGGGGAAGCTGCGCTGTCATTGGATGTGGGCAGTGAGGATGCGCCTAAACGGTGCGTTACCCCGCGTTTGTGGCTAGCCGCCCAAAACGTATGTGCTCGTACTCATCTACTCTTGGGTGGACAGGATCTTGAGAGAGACAGTGGGCTATTTGCGTCTGAGAGACGCCAATCCTGCTGCAACAAAGGACGGTGAATTGCCAAAGTACAACTCGCTCGTTTCGCAGGTCGACAAGTATTGCAGAGTGAGTATATCCCCTCTTTTTCTCACTTGCTTGGATCTCATGATGCGAAAAAATTTAGAAGTCTACCGCGACGTCGGGTTCTAGTCCGCCTACGATGGCTTCCGACAAAGGGTCAACGTCATCCCTCTCTGTTCCGGCTTATGAGACAGATGTACCAAGTCCGAGTTACAAGTTTACCTTTACGCGCACCCATTCCAACTCGTTTTCAGTCGACCTCTTTCCAGAAGAATCCACATCCCAGCCGTCGCCTACTACTCTCGTGACCTCGTTGGCCCGCTCAGGTTTTCCTCCAAAGAAGGAACCACCACCGCGTCATCCCGCCAGGTCCCGTTCTGAAACCGTACCTAATATGATACCGAATATGGCCCCTCTCGGCCGATCTCGTAGTACAAGTATACGAGGCTTGCCGCCCGCGTCGTTCAATAGCAATTTGCATGGCACGTCTATCGATGAAAATTCTGCTCAGGAAGTCATTATCAAACCACTCAGAACGCCCAAATCTCCTTCATCTGTCATGCAAGGGAGGGACCTGCAGGGACCACTACCTGTCCTGCAGCATCCTCGGATGCAACCCACCCATCGTCATTCCCGATCCCTTCCTGTGCTGAGGCCGGTCACCAAAATATCGGCACCTCCCCCGCTGCCGCCGTTGGACCTGAAACGGACCACAAGTAAGAACGTGCGGCACTCGCTCTCCTATAATGGTAAAAATCACGTCTATTCTCCGCATATCCCGGTTTTTCTGATTCCCTCTTTCTATAGAACTTGCAGAGCCCAGCCCTCTGTTTCTTCCAGGCGGATTTATTCCCGCGACAAAGACTCCTAGTGCGTGCCCGATGTTTACTTGTGTATCAACTCCTCATACTCATTCCCTTGTCCAGAGAATCGAACTCCAAAACTTGATACAGAACTCAGTAATGCACAAAGACGTCCAGAGCCAAGATCTCCGACGAGACCGGATCCACAAGAGCGTTGGACGATTCACGACCGTGATTCATGGGAGGTCGTCCCGCCCGTTCCACCTTCCAAATCTCCTCGTCATTCCTCCACTCACTTGCCCCATTCTTCGAGCGGGGAGCCGACATCCCCCACCGGCTCTAGTAAACCCCGTGGACTTGGCCTGTTAAGGAGACGACTGTCGAAAACCCAATTATCGATCAAGACCGGCCCGCGGGCGTCCATCTCCAACCTCGGTTCTCCTGGCCATCCCTTACCGATTCCGGTGAATGTGAATACTGTGGTCATGGGTCCGATAGGCTGTGGCGTGTCCACGCTTATCCAAAAGTTCATGGCAAGTACTAACGAGGCAAGTTCTATCTTTCAATGTTGTTGCGTCGTTGATTATTTACATGGAATTTATAGTGGGTTCCTGCATCTACCATAGACGAATTCTACCATCATGTTGTCAAGTCAGAATCGAGAACAGTGTACTATAATATTACAGAGGTGACGGGGTCGGAAGAGTATGTCGATCTCCGCCGAGCAGTGCTCCGGAGGGCTCAAGTTGTCATTCTTTGTTTCCGATTGGATTCACGGACTCAGTTTCGCGATGCGATTGTGCGGGTACGTAATTTGGACATGCGACTCGACCATTGACTGATCCTTCGCAGCTGGTGGAGGATATTCATACCATTGGAGAAATTCCCATCATACTCGTTGGCACTTTTCAGGACATTGCCGATAGAGAAGTAACCAGCGACGAAGTCAGTTCGACATGTATCTAGTATTTTTCATCTACTCATAACATTGCAGGCCCAAACCGCTGCAGAAGCACTTCACGCCAGCTACTTTGAATGCAGCCCTTTGCTCTCCCATGGGATAAACGAGATATTCAACCACGCTGCCGACATTCTTCGCAATGCGGATGAAATCAGACCTCCTGCAGCGACAGCTATGCAACCTCCTTCCGCCACCAAAAATCTCTTCAACCTCGTGCGCAACCGGAGGGCATATTCCACATCCAGTCCAAGAATGAAGAGCCAGAATCACTATGTTTCTCATTCCGCTTCTTCAAAACAACAAACTTTTGCGGAGGCAACAACGCCTGTTCCCGTGATGAATATTGCTCCCAACTCTCCCGCCATCAATGGTAATGTGTTATTGCTCAGTCCTCAACACTTCAAGTGTGTTATCATGGGCGGGAAATCTAGCGGCCGCAAAAGTCTGGTACATAGATATCTTCATGGTGCCTTTGAATGGCTGCCGGAGGTACCGTGGATGACCTGGAAAGCTGCCGTCAATGTCGTTCCTTTGGAGAACGAACGCCGTCCCAGCTTACCGATTATTGGTAGTACGGTCCCGTATGCTCTGACAATCTCAGAGACTGCACCTATCAGGGAGCTAGACTCGCTCAGAAAAATCACATACATCGGAACTAGTGTTTTCGTTATTTGCTTTAGCGTCTCAGACCACAGGGAGGAAGTTATGCAGGAAATTCAAGAAAGGGTGGGTATCCATATGAAAGGAATAGAATTTGGCTGATTGTTGGTTCCTAGTGGGCAGAGGAATGTCGACTATACAATCCTACCATTCCCATCATTGTTGTCGCTACCAAAGTGGACCAGCGGGCAGGAACTCTGCGAGCTTGGACCAAAGCTCAGGTAAGTGTTCCCCCGCTCGCGGCATTCTCTCGCGTGATTTGATGCGTTGCTTTAGGGAGAGGCGCTATCTCGTTCTATTCGCGCGGCAGCATACCTCGAATGCTCGGCCGCGACGGGTGAGGGCATAGAAACGGTCTTCCAAACTATCATCCGCGTCGCGACGGAGACTCATCTTCCAACTCGAGTGTAATCATCTTTTTGTCTTTACAACCATCTTGTACTTCATGATCATAAACTTCTTGGGCTGTACCTCATGGACCAAACGTGTATGACGGTATGTAGAATACAGCATAGTATTGATCTCTCTCTTTCTCTGGGTGGAGAGGTAGCATACTTTTTTTTACAAAGAAATCGCAGACATGTGTGCCGCGTTAATTTTAAGAGGATAATAAATCAGGATCTAGTCTAGAGCATCCACCATATCATCGTCATCATCGTCATCTTCATCATCTTCGTCTCCTATATCAGGAGCTCCGTAGTCAAAGTGAGACGCCGGCTCCATTTTGTAGAGCTGTGAGTATTGTTGAGGGTCGACCTTCATTTGTATCTCTTCGTCCTCTTCGTCATCGTTGTCTACATTTACCGCGCTATAGTTCTCTGTGAGTCGATACATGCCATTATTCGGGCCGCTCCTTTCCAGAACTGCGATTTCGTTCAAAACTTCACGTAGATACACTTCGGGTTGTTGGACTTTTTGTCGAAGCTCTTTGATAGACCAATGAGTTTTCTGCCTAAAGTGATGGAAGAGGGCATCGAGAAGGTCATTTTTAGCCATCCTCGCCATTCGTTCGAACTGCTGTTTCGGCGCTTTAAGTGGCTTGCCAATACCAGTTCCGGGAGCTGCTTTTGTGCCACGACCGGCATTGAGGCGACGAATCTCTGATGTAGTCGCTCCCATGTCTTCCATGAATTTGATCCCGCCTTGCGGTTGAGCAGCATCGTGTCTTCGCTTCAGATGAGCTTGGTAGTCTACATCGAATCGTGGTTGACATTCTAGTAAGTGCTCTATAGCTCCTTTCATCTCCGTTGTGCCTTTTTCCGCCCCGTTAGCTGGTATGTCATACTATATATGGCATTACTTACGAGCCCGCTCATCCGGCTTCGAGGTTTTTGGTCTATCCGTTACGACAATGTAATTTGTGAGTGTCTTCTCTTGCATCTCCAAGTCATATTCGATCATTGGAGCATCTGGTGACGGTTGCCAAAAAAGGCGAACCACTTGTCCTCCGTCTGGTAGAGTGTAGACACGAATTTTGCCCAATTTCACATTTGGTTCGGTGATTTCACTCCATGCATCGAGAAGGTCATTTTTAGCCATCCTCGCCATTCGTTCGAACTGCTGTTTCGGCGCTTTAAGTGGCTTGCCAAT